AGTGAAGGAGTGGAGTGGGTGTGAGTGAGGGCTCAGTTGAGTCAGGGAAGTGAGAAATTACAGAGTTGGCCAATGTAAATGCTGAGGAGGCCAGCTGGGGCTGCTAGTTGGCAATCCTTGGAGTTAGGATTCTGTCCTCCCACAGAGACTGGGAGACAGAGGCCCTATCTGTCCTGATGACAGTTTAAAGGAGTGGCTTTCAGGTCATGAGTCGTAGGATTGATGAAGGGGATGGATGGATAGATAGATAGATAGATAGATAGATAGATAGATAGATAGATAGATAGATACAGACATCTCAAATGGACAGAGGAAGGATTCACGACTGTGAGTACTTTTGAGTAGAAGCCATAAAACAGGATGGTCAGGGGCCCAATGGTCAGACATTGGTTAGAACAAACAGGAAATTCTTTTGGCAGCCTGAGCTGTCTCAGGGGCGCTGGAGCCAGCCTAGAGATATGGTCTTGAGTTGTTGGAAATATTTAGTCTTTTTAATGTGAGGGAATGGGGTGAGCGAAATCATTTGTGTTGAGAGTCTGTAGTTTTTATTGGCCAAAGTTGAAATCTAGTAGATAAATGGGCTCATAGGAGCCTGTCTAGAGTTTGGTCAAATACAGAGTCTTTGTCACAATGCTGTCCTGGAGGTGAGCACAGGCCACTGAGGTGTGTGTGTGTGTGTGTGTGTGTGTGTGTGTGTGTGTGTGTGTGTTTGTGTGTGTGTGTTTAGAGAGGAGTGGGTAGCTTGACTTGATCTAATCCCAATAAACCAAACGAGTCCACTTAAGAGAGGGAGGGGGGAAGGGTAAGAGAGAGGGCAGGTCCAGGTTTATGGGCCTAAAACACATACCATTAGAAGGCCTCTGGGTAGCTGTAGCTGGGGCATGTAAGTAAGGGGACCCAAGATGCAAGCTCCTCTTGGTTCATGGCGAATTGACGTCTTTGGAAGGTGTGTTCCAGGCTGTGTGACCAGCAGGAAGGAGGGAAAGGGGGATAGAGACGGCCTGGCTTGTTTAGGGAACTGAAACAACCCAAAGCTGGGTTTCATTGCAGGATACCCAAGAGGTAAAGCTGAAGAAAGGTTGAGGATCTAGTTATAGAAGGATATCTCAGTCATCCTAGGACTGTGGATTTTTCTCTGACCGCTGTGAGCAGTCACTGCGGGATGCTAGGTGGAGGAGTGGCTCGATGATTTACCCACACAATAGAAAGAGCATTGGGAGGACGTGTGGGTGGGCTGGAGCCCAGGAGGGCTGGTTGGAGACACCAGGCAGGCCAGCGCACTCCTCAGTGAAGACCCTGGGATCACACCTAGGATCTCAGAACAGGTGCCAGCGTCTCAGAGAGAGCTGTTCCTCAGCAAAAACACTTCTAGATTGGCATTTTTCTAAGTTTAAAAATATACTTACATTTATTTTGATGGAAACGAGGCTCAAGCTAGCGAAATCTTTTTGATTCATATTGCATGGTACAACATTTCATACTTTTAAACAAACAAACAAACACGTTTTTCTTTATTTCAGGGAGAGGGAGAGAGGGATAGAAGCATCAATGATGAAAGAGAATCATTGATTGGCTGCCTCCTGCACACCCCACACTGTAAATCGAACCATGAACTTCTGGTTCATGAGTCGGCGCTCAACCACTGAGCCACACCAGCCGGACCAACATTTCATCCCCCCCCCCCCAATATTTCATTCGTAATAGAAAATCTGTTTTTGCTTTATTTGTCCCTGGGTATCATGCACATAAAAAGGAATAGATTTTAAAATGATTGTTAAAGTCAGATACTTAAGCCATACCTTAAAGTCCATTATCCTATTTCTGCACAGGACATTTTGATACAAAATGTCTGGAACATCACGAGCTTTGTGTTATACAGTCTGTCGCTGTGCTGAGGGCAGCACTGACTACTACAGGCAACATTTTTTTTTATTTATTTATTTAAGCATAGAGATGGAAATTTCCGTGTCTGTAGATAAAGTTTTTTTTGTGTTTTAAAAAAATATATATTTTATTGATTTTTTTTACAGACTGGAAGGGAGAGAGATGGAAAGTTAAAAAGATCAATCAGCTGCCTCCTGCACATCTCCTACTGGGGATGTGCCTGCAACCAAGATGCATGCCCTTGACTGAAATTAAACCTGGGACCTTTTAGTCCACAGGCCGATGCTCTATCCACTGAGCCAAACTGGTTAGAGCTACAGACAACATTTTTAAATGAAAGTGCATCTACCATTAGGCAAGTCCTGCTGCTTTACACCAGGAAGCTCTTAGAACCCTGGAAGTTGATACTTGGTTTTCCTTTTAAATTTGTTGACAGATAATTTTTTTTTTTTTTTTTTTTTTTTTTTTTTTTTTTGCTTGAATAGATTCCATGCTGAGAACAAATCTGAGATCCCCCATGTGGGAAGCATAGCCGTGGAGATATGTAACCGTCTTTCTCTTCTGTCTCTAAGAAAAGAGCGATTGTTTAGATTCGTTCTGCCATCCTCTTGGGCAGATGAAAGAAAAGCGAGTCACAGAATACTTAGATGTTCGTATGACAGCATCCACACACAGTTCACTCCTGTGGAGTCTAAGAATCTTCATGTCGTCCCGCCTGGAGGAGATTTCAGACACCAGCTGGTGCTCTGACTCTGCTTTTAAAAGCAACAACTTAACTCTTGCCACGGGAAAGAGACCAGGGCCCCGGGCCCTGGTTGCAGAGAGGGCCTCGTACACACGTCCCCGCACAGTGCCTCAGAGAGCTCTGCCGAGTTTGCAGCCACTGATGGGCCCAAGGCTTACATTTTTCACTTAGAAGATGGATGCTCAGCAAGGCAGGGAGTGACTCTGACACTCTGAAAAGTCAGTGGAAAAATTGCCTCGGGGAGAATTAACAACCACAACAAAAAAGGCAGTGATTTGTTTCTGTTCGCACTGGCCAGAAATAGATCTTTTTTGGTTTTTTAATTTTTAAAAATCTTTATTGTTGAAAGTATTACATATGTCTTCTTTTTTCTTCCATTGACCCCTTCTAGTCCGCCCCTCCCCGCTGCCTCTGCCTTCCAACACCCTGTTGCCTGTGTCCCCGGGTTTTGCATATAGATAGATGCATACTCATTCTCTGGTTGATCTCCTCCCACCACCCCCGCCAGAAATAGATCTTAATTTCCCTTCTTTCATTTCTTTTTGGAGCTTGAGCTCTCCCCACTGTGCCATACTGTTTTGTTTTAAAAACGTTTCAGGTGTAAAATCCAAGTGTGCTCATCACTGGATCTCTGTAAATCTCTAAAAAAGTGGCACATAGACTGTTTATATGTCCCCAACACACCAGGAATGATGCAGACATTTTTATATATTTTTATTGACTTCAGAGAGGAAGGGAGAGGTAGAGAGAGAGAGAGAGAAACATCAATGATGAGAGAGAATCATTGATCGGCTGCCTCCTGCACACTCCCTATTGGGGATCCAGCCCATAACCCCGGCATGTGCCCTCGCCGGGAATCAAACTGTTCATAGGGCACTGCTCAATCACTGAGCCACGCTGGCTGGACCGGGCAGACACTTTTGTTCACATGATTATTTAACATTTAGTCACAATAAACCCATCCCATTTTCAGTAAACTGAGATCCTAAAACTATCTGGCCCTTGAGAGTGAGCCACGAGATCCCTGTAGTTTCCACTGTCAGGGAAATGGATCTCAATTTTCTGCAAGAGGGTTGGGCAGCTTTGAGTCATTTGCCATCTTTGCAACACATTTCTTCCTACTTGAGGATCTTGCACTTTTTTTTTTTTTTTTTCTGTGTGTGTGTATTTTGATTATTTAGAGTAGAACCCATCTAAGTACATGGTCCTGACCAAGGGCAGCCATTGCTCCATAAAGAAAGAGCCACTTTGTCCTTCCTGCCTACTGATGAGCCACCCTCCTCTCCTCCAGCCCCACTGCAGACTTCACAGCCTCCGGCCTCATCCTCCTGCTGAGTGAGTCACGGAGAGAACAGGAATCAAGCCACCTGGCTTCTTTGAAAGTTTGGTCGTTTTCACCCTTGATAGAAAGATGGAGGCTCTGAATGCAAAATGATGGTCCTAAGTTCATCTGGGGCAAGGACTCATTGGTTCCTTCCTTCACCAGACAAGCATCCCCAGAAGCTCTCTGTGCCTCATTGTGAGCAGGTCTCTGCGTGATGGCCGCACCTCAGGGCCCCGTAGCCAAGAGCACCGGCTCCAGGTCCCCCAAGAGGATCAGGAAGCTTCCGGGCAGAGCAATGGCCTTCGTTCTGGAGATGGAGTTGGGAGGTGGAGGTGAAGAGCAGTGGAGATGGGAAAGAATCCATCCAGTGGAGGAGTGGGACAACCAGAGCCCCTCAGCCCTGGGCAGGGAGTTGGATGGTTGGACTCACGGGAAGGGCTCAATGCCAGGCCGTGTGACAGCTGCCCGTGGGGAGAAAGATCCTGAAAGCGGTGAGAACCGAAGGAAGTATCGCGGGAATAATGCAGGGACGATGTGTGGGGCCCGGAAGCAGGCTGCTGGCAGGGAGGATGGGACAGCTTAGGCATGGAAGGTATAGTCATGGGGGTGAGCACAGAGCAGGGGAAGCACTGGGCATGAAGGGACAGGGATGCCCTTGACTGAAATGAGGACAGATGACAATGACCTCTGTTTGGTGAGAAGGTTATACGTTTAATTTCGAATGTGTTGACTGAAAGATCAAGTCTTACGTTTGTTGTGCTCAGCCTTGGAGCCCAGAGGGAGGCCATGGTTAAAACGGAAAGAAATCCCACAGAGACTCTCTGGAGAAAGGAGGTTATGGGAGCTCAGAGGCCCAGCTGCCTCTTGGAATTGGCAGCACTGGCATTCCCTTCTTTGGAGCCCCTTTCTGTCTTCCTTCCCTTTAAAAAAGTAACTGACGTTTAAAGGTGAAAATGACTTTACAAGAAACCACATTGGCGCTGCTCCATGCCTGCTGTTAGCCACAGCTGGGTGTGGCTGGCACTCGTGGGGCTCTGACTGTGCGTCTCATGCTTGCAAGTCCTTGGGCTCATCTGGGGTTAACTTCATCAGTTTCTCCACACAGAGCAGGATGAGGGTGAGAAACCAGAGGCTCCAGCCGACAGCGGCCGCGACCCAGCCGTACTCATCCACTCCAGCGTGACAGCACCGGGATGCTTGTGGGCAGAAGTCCACATCTGGGGGAAGAGAGCATCACACTAGCCCGCCCTGTCTCCAGTAGTCATAACAACAAGACAATAGTAATAATAATACAATAGCTAACCTTCACGAAAACATGCCACGTGCTGTGCTAGATGCTCTACACACGTTACCTTATTTATTCCCTGTAAAGTGATAAATAAGGTGTGGCTGTTTATTCCCATTTTACATGAAGAACCTCAGGCTGTAACTTGCCCAAGGTCATGGGTTGGCAGAGCTAGAACTCAGAGGCAAGTCTGCAGGACTCCGAAGCTGTGTTCTTAACCTCTACACATTCTTGCCTGTTTTTCTCTGTGAGTGTCCAGAAGTGAACACATTTGGGCATTCAATGAGGGCAGATGAAAGGAAGCCAGACTTAGAATATACAGCAAGACTTCCTGTTCATTAGACACCTGTAATAGTGGTTGCTTTATGAAGAACTGCCCTCCTTGTGGCTGGAGGTATTCAAGTGGAGAAGAACAGAAACATGCAAAGGGTATGAAAATGAAGCTCTTGCCTCCGGCAGAGGTAGGACTAGCTGAGTTTTGTGGTCTTTCCGCTGGCAAACATCTACTAGTCTTTGAACTCAGGACATCTTTGGCTCCTTCGTGGGGATGAGTCACTAAGGCTATCTGAACCAAAGGTTGTGAGCTTAGATGGGGGTCAAGGCCGAGATAGCTTTTGGACGGACTCTGCAAACCACACCAGCACCCAGCGAGGCCAGGCCAGCGCTCAGCTACCCCACGCCAGTGAACGTCAGGAGGCTTACATTTCCCTCCCAGACCCAGGGCCGGCTCTGGCTGGGGCAGCTGGCAGAAGCTTACTGTGGCACGGTTCCAGAGCCTCAGGATCTGGGTGGTGGTTGTTGGTCAAGGTTGAGTTGTTGCCACTGCTTGTTTCTGGGGGGAAAAAAAGACAGTCTGAGTAAATTAGTAGTGAGTACTATGAAAGTATTATAGACGTTCCAGTCTAGACTTCATGCAACAAAGCCAACCTCTAAATTGTACCCCTCCGCCCCCTCCCCCCCCCCCCCCGCCCCAATTCAGATGTTGAAGTCCTAATCTCCCAGTAATGAATGCATTTGGAAATAAAACATTTAAAGAGGTCTGACATAAAATGGGGCCATATGTGTGGGCCCTAATCCAATATGACTGGGGTCCTTATAAGAAGAGGAGAAACACAGGGATGTACAAGCAAAGGAAAACCATGTGAGGACACAGGAGGGAAGCCTCAGAAGAAACCAGCCCTGCGGACACCTTGATCGTGGACTTCTTTGTTACGGCAGCCCTGGCAAACAAACACTCCCCTTTTCCTCTTGCGGTCTGTTCTCTTTCAGGGGTGCTTATTTCCACCTCGCATTGTCCCTTACCCAGGCCTGCTGTCCACAGCTTCCCAAACACTCTACCTAATTAGCTGCTTTCTATGCAAATAGATACAAAGAAAATGTTTTTTTTTTTTTTAGTATATAGTAACACACTTACTTAAAAATCTGAAGCATCTTTCCATAACTGTCTTTAAGTTCCTCCAAAACTTTGAATAGCCTGGCCTGTGTGGTACAGTGGTTGAGTATTGACCTATGAACCAGGAGTCACGTTTGATTTGTGGTCTGGGCACATGCCCAAGTTGTGGGCTCCATATCCACTGGGAGGCATGCAGTAGGCAATCAATGATTATCTCACCATTGATATTTCTATCTCTCTCTCCCTCTGCCTTCCTCTCTCTGAAGTCAAGCAAAATATATTAAAAACAAAACTCTTGAACAAATAGACATTGAAATCTGACCTTGATTTCTGACAAAGATACTAGTATTATTCAGCAAGACATGAAACTGTTTATGGGGGGGGGGGGAATGTAAGCACCATACTAGCAAATCTAGATGTTGCTAAAATATGCAGCACTTCAAATTGTCCCTTGATTAAGAAGCAGAGAGCCCAATGATAAAAGGAACTTCGGCAGGAATTCTTACAGTTGTATCAGAGTTTGGGGGGTGAGCTGGGGTTTTGGAGATGAACAGGAGGGTCTCCAAGGAAGAAAACCATTGCCCACACTCCCTCTGACAACAGCATAAGAGGAGAGGATCTCCATCCATTTGGTCCCACATGGCCGCCACTGGTGACTATTTAAATGTTTAAACAATTAAGTTAAAAATTCAGCTTCTTGGTCAGATTAACTACATTTCAAGTGCTCAATCCCCATATGGGGCTGCTGGCTACCATAATGGAAGCACAGCACAAATATGCAGAATTTCATCAGCCAAAAAAAAAAAAAAAAAAAAAGTTCTGTTAGTGCTAATCTAGATAGAACAAGACCACGAGGCCAGTTTGGAAGACTCTGGGAACTATATTGCTGTTCAGTCTGCTTGTTGGGAATGCAAAAACGTAACACTGGTTTGGAAGCACTCAAGGCCGCCACCAGGTCAGCATGTCCTTCAAAGGCGCTTGGTGTCGCGGAGCAGAAGTTAGGAAACTTCTTGACTAGCCAAAGCCACGGAATTGCTGCTCAGACTAATTTTATGCCACCTACCCCCACGCCGCTCCAGTGTCCTGCCCAAAGTAGAGTAATTACCTTGATGCAATCTGATTGTTACTGTAAATTATTTACAGCCAAATGGCTTAGAGCTTGGTCTTTATTTGTTTTGGAGAAATTGATTCCTCAACATTGTAATGTCCCTTATGACCGAACTAAATTCCTTGGCCCTGACCTTCACCTCACCTCTACCCTTGGATGGAAGTGGTCCCTGTCTAGAACAAGGGAGTGGAAAAATCCTAGTAAATTGGATGCTAGTATTAGGTGAAACCATATGAAATTGCCATTTATGTAGGTCTCAAGAACTGCTCAGCAGTTTTATATGGCTCACACTGGGTAGCCGAGGTAGAAGTTCCTAAAAAGGATTCCCATTTATTTTTTGTTGAATGCAGTGGGGCTACGTTGGTTAATAAAATTATATAGGTTTCAAGCATACAATTCTATAATACAGCATCTGTATATTGTACTGCATGTTCCCCATCCCAAGTCTGTTTCTATCACCATCTATCCCCCCTTTATCCTCCCCCGCCTCCCTCTGCCCCTAAGAATTTAAATACCACCCTCATAAGAAGAGCCACCCAGGGACTGGTTGCAGTTGGGGTCACTTTCAAAGTAAAGGCTGCTGGGGAGACCCAGCTCTTCAGTGCAGTTACATTTGTCAAGGTTTTTTTTTTTTTTTTTTTTTTTTTGAGGCCCTCTCCTAAACAAGGCACTGTGAGGATAAGCAGAAAGGAAGACATAAAACACTTTTATTTGCGGAGGAGTTATACTGGACAATGGATGTGCCAACATTCATTACTTGTTTACCATGAGTTAATTTGTTCAAAGGTGTTTACCTACAGTCGCCTCATTTCATCTTTACAACAACCCTGTGTGTAAGCATTAGGATTATCCCCCTGTTATAAACAAAGAAACGGGGGCACAGGAAGGGAACGTCCTTTGCTCAAGGTCACACAGCTGGTAGGTACAAGGCAGCATTGAGGTTCACAGGCTTTGAGAGCCCACACTCTCTGGACCTCCACAGAGAGTCTGTGAGAATGAGAGAGAGGCAGATGCAGGCTGAAGGGGAGGAAGGATATGGGGGTGAGGTGGGGGTGAAGGTGGGGGTGGGGGTAGATGTGGGGGTGAGTGTGGTGAGGATTGGTTTTGAGACAGACTAATAGAGACAGACTCCGGGAACAGGACAGACTGTGTTCTGGGGAGTTGAGGAGCAAGATCAAAGCCAAGGGCAAGAGCCAGGAGCGTGGGAGTGTCAGGGAGGCCTCTGCATGCGGCTCAGAGCCCAGCCTGGGACATCCTGACGGGATGGCCTCAGTCCCTCCAGCCTCCACAAGGCACTCACCCAACCCCTCCTGGGCCCTGGGGAGATGGGAGGACAGCAGCCTGAGCTTGGCAGCTTTTATGCACTAAGGTTTTGTGAAAGTTGCAAAGAAAGCACAGGGTCCGCAGGGGGTCAGAGGCCCTTAGGGGAGTGGAGGGGCAGCGCAAAGGGAGCCTTGCGAAGCTCAGCAGCCCCGGGCTCCGAGAAGGAGCCACTGAGAAACCGCACCCAAAAGATGCCACGTTAGGCTAAGTTGGTCCCCTGCTGGGAGAGGCTCTGTGCATTGCTTTTTCCTCTCTTCTTTGTGGTGAAGGTCCACAGAGGTGGCTGCTCCTGTCCTAGCTGAGGCTGGGAGTACATTTAAGACCCCACCCCCTACCCCACCTCTGCCCAGTGCTTCAGACGAGAAAGGACTGTTTCCTCGTTGTGCAGGACCAGCCGGGGCCAAAGAATACTCCTCCTTCCTTCCTTCCCCCCTCCTCCTCCCTTCCCCTTCCCAGCGTGGCCAAGAACAAAGCTCACAGTCCCACCTGCCAAGCAAGCCGATTGGAAGGAGGCGAAGACCAGGCTGAGGACCAGGGCAGCTGGGGGCGCAGGCTTCATGCTGGAGGGAGAGGCTCCTGTGGGCGCCGGCGCGGTGGAGGCGTGCTGAGCGCCGGGGCATGTGCCGGTGTGTGGGTCCCGTCCGGCAGGAGCTTGAAAAGCGGCTGTCAGAGGTGAATTTCTACTCTGTTTTTGGGGAAAGAAAGAGGGTGGAGCAAAGGCAGTTCAGCTGTCACACCTTTCTCTTACCTCTCGGGAAGGGAAGCCAAGCTCTGTTGGCTGGGCAAGAAGGGAGGGGCCATGTGTGCAGTTCTTCCCTGAGCTCATGCGTTGCTGGTGCTGGGGAAAAAAGAGGAGAGGGAGGAGGTCTGTGTCCCACTGGGTCCTGCATCATCATGGGTCTGCTGCCTCACCCACGTGCAGGTGTAGTGCTGGATTCCCTATTCTGGGTAGCCCGCTATTTCCTGAGTTCTTACTGTGCGCACTGAACTAGAGTCTGGGAATAACAACCCTCAAAACGCTTTAAGTACCCACATGCCATTGGAACACAGAGCACTGCTTCGGGAATGACTCGGGAAGGACCAAGTGCTTTTGCTCTCAGCAGCAAGAGGCCACATCTCGGGCGGGCGGGCGGGATGCCTCAGGGAGAAGGTGGCGTTTGAGTTGGTCTTGAAGGATGGATAGAATTTTGACAAGCCAAGAGGGCATTGTAGGCAGAGGGGCAGGTGAGCAAAGACCCAGAGGTCAGAGATGCTCAGAGGCCCCCTCTGCCCACAGCCTGAGGGGTGTAGGTGACCTGAGGAGGAGGAAGTGGGGGGAGGGTGCCTGGAGAGCTGTGAGGCTGAGCATCTGCTGTGCCTGCCTGGGGCGGGGGTGGAGGGTGGGGAGTGGGGATTGAAAGAATCATGAGGCAGATGGGAGGCTCTGTGGAGATTTGAATTGAGGAGTAACTGGGTTGGAATTCTGCCTTAGGTCTAAAACATGTTCCTGAAAACCACCGTGGCTTTGAAAAGCATCATCCCGGGCACCTGAGACTCCATGGTGACTAAGACAGAATCCCCACTTCCACTGCAGGGAGACCAAGCAGTGAAGGAAGAACCGAGCTGTCATACGGTGAGACTCATATACCTTCCCCAGGGAGGGGGCTAGGAAGCAGCCCGGCGCTGAATGCGTGAGAGGCACGGGGCGTGACATTTGGGCTGGGTATCCCAGAGGAGGCACATCTTTTTTTTTTTTTTTTTTTAAATATATTTTATTGATTTTTCACAGAGAGGAAGAGAGAGGGATAGAGAGTTAGAAACGTCGATGAGAGAGAATCATCGACCAGCTACCTCTTGCACACCACCTACTGGAGGTGTGCCCGCAACCAAGGCACATGCCCCTGACCGGAATCGAACCCGGGACCCTTCAGTCCGCAGGCCGACGCTCTATCCACTGAGCCAAACCGGTGCCGGCCCAGAGGAGGCACTTCTTAAAAATCTGCCTAAAGCGGCAGATCAGTGGTGACTCTCTATTTTTGGCTTTAGGGGTTGGGGGCAGAAATGCTGTAAGGAGGCTAATTTCCTGGCAGCGCACAGAAATCCAGTTTAGACTCGCTGCTTGGTTGAACATTCAACAATTATTGAGTAATTGTTGTGTGCTGGGCCCTTGGTATGGGGGGGGGGGGGTCCCAAAGTGGGTAAGGCAACACAGTCTCTGTCCTCCAGGAGCTCAGGGCCCAGTAAGGGATGCGGACAAATAGACAAGGACATAGGCAATAGGTGGCGAGGCGGTCGCTGCAGATGGGGAATGTATGGAGGAGGGTTGGAGACCAGGAGACTCAGAGAATGTGTCACAGTGGAGAAGAGATTTTGACTTGAAATGGGAGAGACGTGTAGCTTTCCAGGGCAGGAGGGAGGGGACTATGTACCAGGCCTCCGAGGAATGCACATGCGGCCCTTGTTGGGAAGTGATGATTGTCCTGGGGCATGGGGTTTGCTGTGGTGTGTCTGGTTAGGCCAGGGACAGAGGGTGATGGTCCTGCGTGGCAGACAAAGGAAACTGGATTCCGGGACACCCTATCGGGATCTTGAGGACATCTTTGTATTTCAGAGGCGCAGACAATAAATCCACAGAGGCCAGGCCTGGATTCAGAGAGATCTTCTAAGAAGCTATTGCAAAAATCCCAGCAGATCAAAGAGGGCCCTGACCTGGCCAGTGTTTCTCGATGGTTAGAGTGTCATCCCGGGCACTGAAGGGTCTCGGGTTCGATTCCCAGTCAAGAACATGTACCTGGGTTGCAGGTTTCATCCCCAGCCCTGGTTGGGGCACATGTGGGAGCAATGATAAATGTGTCTGCAGTGTCTGTATCTCTCTCTCTCTCTCTCTCTCTCTCTCTCTCTCTCTCTCTCTCTCTCTCTCATTGATGTTTTTCTCTCTCCCTCTCTTTCTCCCTCACTTCCTCCCATTCTCTCTAAATATCAATGGGAAAAATATCCTGGGGTGAGGATTAACAATAACAAAAAGGACCCTGAAAAGATGCTGGACTGAGGATAGAGCAGTGGGGAACCCAAGAGGCACTTTGGAGGCTAAATCAGCAGAAGGGAATCCGGGATAAGGCCTTCAGGATGAAAGCAAGGTGTCTGGCTGGGGTGAGGCGGTGGCCCTGAGGCCCGCCCGGGGTGGAATTCCAGCCCTGCCGCTGACTGTCTGCGTGGCCCTGGGAAGTGACATCATACATCCATTCCTTGGGTTCTTTATCTAAAAAGTAATAGTGTTACGGCAAAGGGGTCCAGGTCCAGAGCGGGGCTGCCTAATGCCAGCGGGTCGAGTGTGGGTTCTTGACTTCGTGCAGGACAGATTTCACGGTAGGGGTGCAGGTGATTTTGAGAGCACATTTGTTAAAATCGGGGACAGTGAAACAAGGAAGGGCCTAGGATAGAAGAAGCAACAGGAGAGAGAATGGACGGAGCTGCTTTGTCTCTCAAAAAAATGGTGACCCAGAAAGAAACTCACTACAGACTGATTCATATGCCTTTCAGCATAACGATTATTGCTTGTCTCATTTTTATTCTTATAAGTATATTTCCAGTAGGACATGATCTCACACATCTGGGGGAAATGGTGAACAACGTAGACTGATAACAAGAACAGACCCAGAGATAAGGAGCCATGGGTCAGACTGTTGGACCTCAAAGGGAGGGTGGGGATAAAAGGGAGAGATCAATCAAAGGACTTATGTGCACACATATGAGCCTAACCAGTGGTCAAGGACAGTAGGGGAGCGGGGCCTGAGTGGGGCGTGGGGGGTGTTGGGGATTGGAATGGGGGTTTGAGGACAAATATGTGATACCTTAATCAATAAAGAAATTAATTAAAAAAAATTAAAAAGATGGGGAAGAAGCGAGCCAAGGTGGGGCTGCTGTCAGCTCACTGGGGAGTCAGAGAAAAGGGGCCTGGGGGAGGGCGGGGGAAGAGGTGAGCCTGGGACAAGCTGTCGCTGCCCATTGCTCCCCTGGGGAAAAGTCTCCTGGGTCCCTTAGAGTTTAGGAGATGCACGCCTGTGGGGGAACCAAGTGGGGAGGCGTAGGAGGGGGTGTGCTCCAGGGAGGAGAAAGGGCGCTGGGACCTTCGGTTTGCGGGTGTTTAAAGGCTGGGAGCTTAGAGGTGGGCTTAAGGGGGGATCTCAATAGCATCTTCATCAGCTCTTCCAGGTGTGTCCTTTCAGGGTCATGGTCTCTACCGACTGGGCAGTGCCAGGTCAGGGGGTCGTTAGTCATTGCAGAAGGTCCTGGTATCTCCTGCCTGGCATTGCTGCTTTTCTGGGCCTGGAGCTGAAGTACCACCGAGGCTGAGATGCTATCTCCAAGGAGGAAAGGGCAGGGGGTCTACACCGCTTGGCCAGCCATCTGCCAGGGGAGGAAGGTCCAGCACTAGCTGTGCCTGTTGCCAGGCATCCGGGACTTTCTGCCCGGGTGGCTTGCTGTCCCTGGCTGTAAGTTGCTCGGCCGGTTGTTCAGCTATCTATCTCAGTGCTCCCTTTCCGCTGGTCACGGAGCTTCCCCAGCGTCTTACTGTCCTGTTTTGGGGAAGAAGCACCCGTCTCAGGAGTTGTTATCCATGTCGAGTGCTTCCCGTAGCGCTAGCTGACGGTAAGCGCGTAGTCAGTATTCACGCCCACTTTAACAGAAGGGTCATCACAAATAGAAAATGTGCAAGAAAACCACTTTTAGGGGAGAAATAATGCTACTTATGTGTTGAGTTATTTATATCCTGTCTTGGTCCAAAAAGGGTTTAAGGGTGCCTACATATCATTAATGAAGCTAGCTGAAATAGATTTAAAATAGAAGAAATGAGGCAAAGAGAAAGTTAGGATAGGAGCTATGAGGAGGATCCATGAGCAAGTTTAGGGCACAAAATGGCAGGCTTGTTTTCTGAGCTTTCTGGTGGGGGTGGGGGTGGGGGCTGGGGAGAAGAGGGTCACATGGTCATGTCTGTAATTTACAGGCTCACAAGACAGAAACAACAGGGAAGCACAGTGCCCTTGATACCAAAGTCAGAGGGGCAGTTTCCCCAGTTCCCCCTAGAGATGGCATTACCTAAAAGGATGAAGATACTTCTTGACATTTTCCTCCCAGCAACCCCCACAGGAAGCTCCGTAGACTGGGGCTGATTTACCCAGTAGGCTTTGGCGATCACAGCAGTGTGTGGGTTCTCTGAGATTTTCAAGAGTCAAAAATGTTTGGGCCCAGAAAAAAATGTTCTCAGATCCAAAATATGAGCAACACTGTGCAATCAAAGCACTATACAAGTCATTTAAACAGAAACAGTTTCATGTAGGCTGTTGGGTGCATTTGAATACGTTTGATGTGAGCAGAGAGTGTCCCTCTGAAGTGATAAGAGCCTGGGACACACAAAAGATGTAACCAGGCCTGGCCGGCGTGGCTTAGTGGTTGAATATCTACCTCTGAACCAGGAGGTCACGGTTCAATTACAGGTCAGGGCACATGTCCAGGCTGTGGGCTCAATCCCCAGGGTGGAGCTTGCAAGAGGCAGCCCATCAATTACTCTTTGTCATCATT